AGCGTCCTTCTTTATTTTCAGATTCATCATTTGGTTTTGGTGGATTAGTGGATTGAGATGAAAAGATGGATGTAAAGGGTTGATCAATGATGTTTTGGAAGGTTGGTGAATCAGTGGTGGAAGAAGTAGGAATGATGAATGGAGGCAAAGAAACAAAGGTATTTGTAACGGCTTCGATAGAAACAATAACTGGAGTACCTTAGTATTGAGTAGTTTCCTTCGTTAAATCTCCTTCACCCATGATGACATTTGCACCCGTATCATATACGTTTGCAGTGATGTCTGAAGTTTGTACCTCCTTATAAGATGATTTGGTAGTAGAAACTTTGGGTGGTATGACAACTGTCTTCTCAGGAGAAGTATGTTGTATAATAGGTTTGGGTTCAGGTGTCCTAGGCAATTGTTCTGCTTCAGATGATTCAGTTGGAATGACTAGCCACCTCTTCTTTGTCTTCTTCTTCTTCTTAGAAATCTTCTTTGCCATATCCTCAACCCTTCGTTTCTTTGAGTGAGGAGAAACTGGAGATGGGACTTCGCGCATAAGTACTCCTTGATGAGTAAGATGAAGCTTGCGAACCACATTTGAAGTAGGAGAACCACCATACTTCAGCTTTAATTTGCGAAAAACTCCAGTTTTCGAACGAATGGTAACTGAAGGTGGCTCTGTAACAACAGGTTGTATAATAGCTTTTGAAACTACCTCATCAGCCTTCGTCTTTGGAGACTTTGATGTCTTCATTTCTTTAACAGTTTGCTCAGGAATAATAATCTCAGGCTTCTTTGTAGTCCTACACTTCTTCGAAGGACCTGCACCTTCTTTTGTTAACAATTTCCCAGTTTCAACTTTGGGATCAATTGTTGACATGTATGCAATAAGTACAGAATTTGTTGGATCAACTTTCTTTAACATAGCATCTGGGATTCTTGCAACATGTGAAAAGATTTTTTGATCATTAGCTACTTCCTTTGGAAAATTATACTTCAAAAAATCTGTTTTTTCCTCCTCAGCATCCACCAGAATACCCTCTTTATCATAAAAATACCTGAGTATAAGACTCCAATATCGTGCACATGAAATTCCTTGCACAACATTCGTATTTTCTATGCTCTTTTGAAATTCTTTCCGTAGTTGCATAAAGTAGTCCACCGGAATATCATAATATATGCCTGTAACCATTGCATATACTTATAACAGCCTGAATTCCATGTTAGCTTTATGGCCCTTCTATTTTGGAGAGTTGGCATTTTAGTCCCTTGAAGTTAAAAAGATGATTTGGTGAGTACGCTGGGCGTACGCCGCGCGTACTCATGCGCTTAATTCATACGCGTGTTCATCCGGGTACGCTGGGTGTACCCAAGGTTAAGCCGGGCGTAACCGGCCCAGATGTAAAACCCTAAGTTGTGGCCTTGCACTATAAAAGGAACATGTAGTCCCTTGCCCTAGCCACCATACACCCTTGAGAGAACCCTTGGAGAGCTGAGATTCGTGCTTTAGCTTGTGTCTGAGTTTTTGAGCTTGAAGTTGTCTTTTCAAGGTGAAGAACGAGAATAGGGAGCCATTGTTGGAGCTAGAAGTTGAAGAACGAGTATAGATCCGAGTTCTACAGTGGTTGGAGATCCTCCCTGAGGTAAAAAGCTAAAAGTTTTCCTTGTTCTTCATAAGTTTTGCTTGTTGGACCATTTGTTAGGGTTTTGGTTCAAAGTTGGAGACTTTATGTGCAAAGAGTATCCATGAGCTTAGATCTGACCTTTTCTAGTGTAAAATGTGTTGAGGAGTCATAACAATCAAGTCTTAGACGTGGATCTTGTGGCATGCATGAGTTATAGTCTCATTATGGAAAGAGGAAAGGTGTTTTGAGCACAAAGTGATCTTTATAGCCATGCAAAGGCTTAAAGCTTCCAACTTTATGGTTTAAGACATATTAGAGGGGTCAGATCTGAAGTTTGGATGCAAGTCTTAACCGTTTAAGACCTGAATATGCTGAACAAAGAAACTGGCTATTACGTTGGGCGTAATCCCAGTACGTGCCGCGTAAGGGGTTGCGTACCCCGTTTCTGGAAGGCAAGAGTACACCCCGCGTACAGGAGCTGGTACGCCCCACGTATTGCTTGTTGTTGACTTTTGTTGACTTTTAGGGTTTTAGTCAACATGTGGACTTTTGGGTCAGGGAGGGGTAAAATGGTCTTTTACCCTTCTGTGAAATTTTAGAAGGAATATAGTACAGCCTTGAGAGCCGTTAATGATTTAGAATGATTATTGATGTGATTAGGCGAGGCTAGGTCGAGGTTACGAGATTCAGAGATATCAAGCACATGAAACTTAGACATCATACGAGGTGAGTCTTCTCACTATACTGTACCTGGAAGGGTACCTATGTGTGACCGGAAGGTCTGGTATGCTATAAGATATATGCATTGTATGTTATGAGTTGCCTGTTTGTATGCGATATGTATGCTATGCTTGATTTGGGCCGTAAGGCATTATGTTATGGGCCGGAAGGCATTTTGACGTAGACTGGAAGGTCAGGGAGTTATGGACCGGAAGGTCGACACGGGTGGAACCGGAAGGTTTACCGGGTCGGGACGGAAGTCCCCTGAGACACATGGACTGGAAGGTCATAGCCCAGAAGGGCGTATGTGTGTAAGTGGTATATTGGGGAACTCACTAAGAATTTATGATTACAGTTGTTGTGTTATGTGTATCAAGTACTAGAGAGGACTGAGGGAAGGCGCCCGCATGACTCGTACACACACACGCGCAGGCGGATTTGGATTTATTTGATCTTGGGATTTGACATGTTTTGTGTTATGATTATGATACATTGGATTTTTAAGGTTGATCTGGAAGAAATTATGTTTTTAAGAAATGAAAATTTGTTTTGAAAAATTACGTTGTTATAATACTTCCATTCTTCCTTTATCTAGCCCAGCACTTCGACTTGTTAAGCACCGAAGAAAAATTCCAGATCGTCGGAAGACTAGAGTTTTTAAAATCAGTGATCGTGGTGAGTGAGGGTTGATGATCCATCTTGTTGAGCATGTAGTTCACTTGATCAGTAGAAAGCATAGTAAACGGTTGGGAGTTTGGAATATCCAAAATTTGACAAAACAGCTTCTTCGTTAATCGTACCTTCTTATCATTCACCATGTTGAAGGTAATGACATCTAAGGCTTTAGAATATGTTGCAGTAGAACTTGCTTGAGAAAGCTAGGACATAGGAACTGCAAAAGAGTTGAGCATAGCTGTCGAAAGAACAAATCTCTTCAAATCAATGTCTAACATCTTCAATCCTTCAGTATATAAAGATTCATCCCCTTCTACATGATAACTCATTCCTTGATTCTTCATTATTGGTTGCGAAGTAACATCTTCAGTGGTTTATGATGGTGCATCAACATGAGTTTGATCAACAATGATTAAGGTTGTAAAATCGTATAAAGAACAATTGGATTTTTCAGAGAGAATTTGGGAATTTTTCTTCTGAAAGCGTAAACTGATAAGAAACCCATAAATTCCTTTTTATATGTAACCCTGAGATTTGAATTTGAAGCGGGATGTGAATTTAATGAATCCGACGTGGCATCTTGAAACTCACACCACTATTCTGATAAAGTAGCCACACGTGAAAAAGTATCGGTCACTTCTCCTTGAAAACCGGAAAGAATACAAGACATCACTTCTCACAGCCTGTTGATTTCCCCCAATGTAAGGTGAATCGTCAGTAACCTTTGGATGGAGGTTAGGCTCTTTCACTTTTGGGATTTAAAGCGAAGTCATGTGCCAGACTTTCGAAATCATCAGCCTTACTACTCAGAACCTCAAGGATTTCGTGAGTGCAGTGTACCAAAGAGAAAGATAAGAAGCAAATAAAGAAAAACTTTGCATTTGTGATGTCAAAATTATTTCGACATGAAAGCAGTTAAACCCCGAGCAGAGGTTACTTCATGAATTATCAAGAGAGATAATCAACTGCTTGTGTGGTTTCCTGTAAATTACAATCGAAAACTTATTCAGAAGTTTCGAAGGGCTTCTTTTTCAAGGCTTCATGGGTGGGTAGACGACTTCGTTACATAGCATCCAAAACATAAGGTGAGAAATTGTAACAGAAATCACTTGTTTGACTAGTGTAGTCAGTGACAAGTATTATTTGATTGTCAGCTCACCAATTTCCCATCCAGTAATTGACCTCCTCCACTTGCCCCTTTGTGATCAAGATTTCAACCACACAAGTCAGCAACTGAGAAAGCTTGAATAAGGAAACCAGTTTTCGAAGGATACCACAATCCTAACGAAATTGAGCCTTTGAGATAACGGAAAATATTCTTGATTGCAGTAAGATGTGGTTCTCGAGGATTTGACTGGTACCTAGCACAATTACACATAGAAAACATGATATCAGGTCTACTTGAAATAAGATAAAGTAATGAACCTATCATGCTTCGATAAAGTATTAATTCAACTGCAGGTTTGTCTAACGAAGGTGTCAGCCTTGTGCCAGTTGCCATCGGTACTCGTAATTCCCTGCTATTCATCAATCCAAACTTTTCAAGAAATTTTTTTGTATACTTTTCCCGGTTGATAAAAATTCATTCTCTGTTTTGAAGAATATTTAGACCAAAAAAATTATTAATTTTTCCTATCATGCTCATTTCAAATTTGCTTTTCATCAGATTTTCAAATTCTTTAGACAATGCAGGGTCAGTAGAGCCAAAAATAATATCATCGATATAAATTTGAACCAGCATAAGATGATTCCCAACTTTCTTTCGAAATAACGTGGGGTCAACTGATCCTTGTTTAAATTTTGATTGTTTTAAGAAAGAGGTAAGAGTTGTACCATGCTCTTGGTGCTTGTTTAAACCCATAAACTGCCTTATCTAAAATATAATAATGATCAGGATGATCTTTATTGACAAAACCTGGGGGTTGCTCCACATATACTATTTCTTCGAGCTCTCCATTCAAAAATTCACACTTCACATCCATTTTATATACATCGAAATCTTTGTGAGCTGCATAAGCTAGAAATATACAAACAACCTCGAGTCTTGTGATAGGGACGAAAGTTTCTTCATTGTCTTTTCCATCTTGTTATGAGTAACCTTTTACAACAAGTATGGCTTTGTTTCGAATAATGTTTCCATCTTTGTCGGTTTTATTTTTGAAAATCCATTTTAATCCAACAATCGAAATATTTTCAGGTTTAGGAATTAATCTCCAAACCTTATTTCGTTCAACCGCAACCAATTCAGATTGCATTGAAACAACCCAATCAGAGTGTTCCATTGCATCCTTAATTGTATTTGGTTTGATTTTCGAAATGAAAACATTGAACATGAAAAATTCTTGATGAATATTTAATACCTCATTCTTTGCACGAAGTTGAGCTCTCGTTAAAACTCCATCTTGTGGATTCCCAAGTACTTGTTCTTTTGGATGGTCTTTTGTCCATTTTTCGAGTGGTGGATAAGCTGGATCAAAATCCAAATGTGCATCTTCATATAAATCTTCATTTTCTGATCCCACAATAGAAAGATTATCATTAATTTCGTGAAATTCATCATTTAGATCAAGAGTTATTGTATCACTATTATTTAGATTCTGTTGCACCCCGTCAACTAGATGCTCCCCCTCAACATCTTCGTTCATTCTCACATTCTACCCCTCGAAAGAATGCTCCCCCTCAACATGAGTATTCATATCCAAGTGCCCCCCCCTCCACTAAATTATTTAACATGCTTTCGCCATTTCATGGAGAATTCGATGTTGAAAAATTGTCTTCAGGAATTTGGTTAAGATCTGATCCTTCCTTGTGCTTCGAAGATTCTGATTGATTATTATCATTCGCACGAACCTCAACATCT